TGGGTTGTTGCGCTGTGTAGTCTGGTCGATGTTAACCAACGTTTCAGAGGTCATACTGCCTCCGTCATCAGGGCGATGAGTACGAAGATTTCTGTCTTCTGGGTTGTTGCGCTGTGTAGTATGGTCGATGTTTACCAACGTTTAAGAGGTCATACTGCCTCCGTCATCAGGGCGATTAGTATGAAGATTTCTGTCTTCTGAGTTGTTGCGCTGTGTAGTCTGGAGATGTTAACCAACGTTTCAGAGGTCATACTGCCTCCGTCATCAGGGCGATTAGTATGAAGATTTCTGTCTTCTGAGTTGTTGCGCTGTGTAGTCTGGAGATGTTAACCAACGTTTCAGAGGTCATACTGCCTCCGTCATCAGGGCGATGAGTATGAAGATTCCTGTCTTCTGGGTTGTTACGTAGTTCCTATTGTTCCGGTGTTAGTTGACGTGTCTAAGCTCCATACATTCCCAACAGTTTTAAAATTCGATTACACTATACATCCTGAAGATAATTACTGTTGTGTGGATGATTACGGTATTGTTATTGCACGAGGGGTGGGTTAAATGAGGGAGGAGCTCCCATGTTCTTTCGATGCCGCCTTGAGACGCTTGAGGGATTCTGACCTTATCCCACCCAGTCATTCCTGTGTTTGACTTGAGGTACAAGATATCAGTCTTTCGCGGTGGCTGACGTGACCCAGGTGGCACTGAGGTTGGTCGTGTGGGTAAATAGTTGCCCTGTGTAAGTGGAAACGGAGGTAGAATTGTACTGGGTGTCGTAATATTTTCAGGAAAAGTTTTAATTAAGCTTCAGCACCCATGTTCCTAAATGCGTAAGGCCAGTATATGAAAAATGCGAGAAAAATAGTGTGACTGGATAATGCTAATAATGACGATAACATTTAAAGTAATAATGGAGATGCTAACTTAATTTATACGTCTTTATAGTAAAATGTGTTTCCACTGTCTCATCAGGCGATTAGTTGAATAATCAGTTTGACAAGTCTTTTCGAAATATACGAATATTGGTCTCACCTAAATTTACATTTATGTACATGACTGATTGTCTGAAGATGGCATACCGAAGCCGAAACATTTTACCATTACAACTTTAATATTTTAACTGGTAAAGCTTGTGTTGGTGTAGACAGAAGTTTTAAAAAAAGAGTTTACTTTTCTTTGATATGTCTGCGGTGTTAGGAAAAATAAAATGATTAAGTCGCCGAGGCAATTTCGTGGAGAAATTCTCCGTATTAAAAGGAAAAAGCAAGAACTAAGTAATCTCATTTACATTTAACGATGTGTGCCATGAAATGCTGGTTATTAAGTGCATTTCGCGTAGAATTTATAGGCGTTTCTATTGTTGTTTCTGTTTCTGAAATGTAATGTTTAGCGACTTAACCCACTCTTCCATAACAGCGTAGATTTCTCGTAGTGAAATCGGGTTCCTCGTATCTGACTACGAACGCTGATAACATTATGTCAAATCCTATTCGTGGTTGTCTGGCTTACTGAATGTTTAGTGATTTGTACTTACAAGAAAACAGTAATAGAAAAAAATTACACAATGATGAACTTAAAATTTGTGATTAAATTAGCAGGATGAAAAGGGCGGTGAAAGATTAATGCGATATTCTATTTGGCTTTAGAAATCGAAGGCTTTTACGCATAGATTGGAAAATAATATTAAAGGGTTATTGGCTAAGGTACGGTTCGTGGTATTTGTGTATTCCATAATCACATGTAATTTATAGATCAGCTGAAAAATAATTTACTGAGATCGTTAGTTAATAACCTTCTTCTCTGTTAGTTTTGGTGGTGAAAAGAGTTTCTGTCTCGAACACTATCAGACGCAACATAGTTGTGAACTATCGGAGATTTTAAAGATCTTGCAGGACCAGAAAAAATTGTAATCTGTTCCGTTACGCGTCGGAACTGAGGGCTCGCGCGCAGGAAATGCGATGAGATTGTTCTCATGCCCCTTTTGTGAAACTGAGAAAGACGATGGAAAGAAGAAAGAAGAGCAGAAAGCCCGTAGAGACGTCGGAAGACACGAGGAGACGAGGCCAAACGAAAGTGATTGCCGTGTTCCTGACGGAGGACGATGTCGTATACCGCCGCGTCATCGCTGGAAGAAACGTCGAGATAGTTTGGCAGACGTTTTCCGTGCTTTCGGCACGGTCGTGCGGCACCGGCGTCGGAACACGGTGAAAATGGCTGCAAGGCGCACGGGTAAGTCCTGACGCCCAACAAGGTTTTATTTAGTGTTCTGTCTGACGGCAGGTCCATATGAACAGGATCCTTCCATCCTTTTCTCGGACTGGGACCTGTTCATATACGTTCTTGGCAGATGATCCAGAAGTGGTTTGCCATTGCCTTCTTCTGTGTGTGAATGGAGTAATTGTTGGGATGCCACGGAGAAACCGGGGAAGCCCCCGGAGGAAAACTCCGTGTTGCCTAGACCACGGCCTTGCCCAACACAAATTATAAATTCGGGCACCGCCGGGAATCGGGGTGTGACGCTGACCACTACAGGTACACGAACTTAAAGACTACGGACGCAAAGACGAAATCCCGTGTAAGCCTTCATCTGGGAGGACAACAAACAATGCTAAATACAGATTTCTGTCTTCTGGGTTGTTGCTGTGTGGTCTGGTCGATGTTAACCAACGTTTCAGAGGTCATACTGCCTCCGTCATCAGGGCGAGCTACCAGACTACACAGCGGAACAAACCAGAAGTCAGAAATCTTCATACTCACCGCTGTGAAAACCTCGAATCATAAAATATTAAATAAGCTGAGGATTGGGGGGGGGGTTGTACTCAGAAAACATATTGAAGTATTAAAGCCCGTAATTTCTCCTTAAAATTATGAATTAAAATTAAAATTTCTGTTTTTAGTAATTGTTCATTCAACAGTTTTTCACCTCGCCTTTACCAATGATCAGAGATAGGTAGTGGTCTAGCGGTTAGAACGCTGGGCTTGTAATACTGGGGTCCCGAGTTCGATTCCCGGCGGTGATCAGATTTACAACTTGTGTTGGGCAAGACCGTGGTCTAGGCATCACGGAGTTTTCCTCCGGGGTTTCCCCGGTTTCTCCGTGGCATCCCAAAAATTACTCCACTTTCATCATCATCTCGCAAAAAGGTGGTCCCGATCGAACCCGTGTACTGATGGGTCGTGAATTCTGCTAACCACCAATGCACACCATGCTGAATGGTGTGTACTGCATACGAAAAAAAAATAGTTTCGTGAAAACTTTAATAACTCTTTTTATACTGTCCTTCCTTTTAAAGCATCTTTATTCGATTATCGTGGCATTTCAGAAGCTTTATTACAGCGTAGTGCCTCAGAACGTCTAAATCTAGCGGTGATAAACAAAGAAT